TGTTGTTGTTGTTGTTGTTGTTGTTGTTGTTGTTGTTGTTGTTGTTGTTGTTTTTAAGTTCTCACTGCGTGGGGGGTTTTCCTGAGGAATCAAATCTCAATGACTACAAGCGGGACACCAGATTCCAGTTTCCAGATCTAAATCAGCTTTGCGGGAATAAGCGAGCACGAGGGGAGAGCCGAGACAACTGTCTCCCTACATTGACAACCAATTCAGGGAGGATTTTCAGCCAGGCTTGCACCTTGACCTGGAACATATTTTCAAACTGTTCACAATCCCCTGTCCCACTCTTTTTTCAATGAGCAAGGGGAAGGAATTGACCTGCTGCCTGCCCTGCTAGGCGCATGGCCGCTACCTTGATCCAGAGGAAGCACTTTCTTCACACTGCCTGCCAGTCACGAGGAAGCAGGCACGGGACAGCTCATCCGTGATGCTCAGGCTGGGCGATACATCTAGGACTGCCCAGACCCGCATGGCGGGAAACGCCATGTCAGTGCCATGCATTGGTGCTGTAATCATGTGCGCGGCGCTCGGGCTGGAGAAGATTCCCCCAAAATGACCCGCCATCATTTCTCAGCACCGATTCCGATGCAAGTGCATCTAGGCTTGACAGATGTGTAACAAATTAGAAATTCAGAACTTAGCAATTCGATGGTGTTGAAGCCAGTCAGGAAGCTTGAAAATGGAATTGAATCTTTGAATCTTTGACCTGTCTGTATAGAGTCTCTACCGAGTCTGCACCAGTCATCACATTTTGGTGTCCATCAGCCTACAGAAGAAACTTGTACGGTAGTGGTTAGCCAGCTAGATCTGTGAGTTGGGACTCATGCACCTGCCGCTCTCGATTTCAAAGGGGAAGCTGTTTTTTTGGATGCATAAGAAGAACATAGACGAACCTGTATGCTTGGAAGCAAGATCAAGAGAACTACAAGATTTATACTTTGTCAAGCAAGACCCTCAAATACAGCTGTCTACCACCACAACATAATCCACCAAACAAACACATCTGTATGTTTCTCTTTCATGAACTTTTACTTGGTCACAGGTCAAGCTTGACCTCCAGCCGCCATGTCAAAGCGGCCTGCGCCTGACAAGGGAGGCAGTGCGAAGGTTGCACGACCTGTCAAGCCGTGGTGCGATGAGTTCATGACGAAAGCGTTGGGGAACCTTGCACTGGGATTGATACGACAAAAGTTTTTTGCGCAATAACATTCACCCAGGGCCCAATAAATCAGAGCGCCATTCAATAGTTGAGATAGGATGGGGTGAACGAAAGGTAGCAAATCTTTTACATCCGCATCATCGCTGGTCTTGCAGTACACGAGTCAAAGCTCTGTTCGAACTCCTGTTCACTCCTTGATTGTGACCCAAACAGCGACTGCGCAGGGGTCTTTGGTCCAGGGGGGCCCCTTGTCAAACAGAATTCATCCTTACAGGACCAAACCCAATGCATAATCCCAACTCCAGATTGTAAAGAAACTTTTAAGTTAAAGCAAGGAGAACTCAGTTAGCTGAAGCTACTGTTCACTACTTGCCCCTAGGACTTTCGATGTGGCTCAAGGGCAGCACCCCGTGAAGTGGCTGGTCGAGACGCTTTCTGTGGGAGAAGGCATCTTGGAAGCTTTGTGGACGTGGCTTGATGAAGTGCTTCCTGGAGGGATTGGGAAGCCCATACCGAACCCAGCAGCTTCTGGGCAAGAAATGGGCCAACAAATACTGTTAAAAGAAAACACATTATGTTCAAGTGAGCAACGACTACAGGCCAGGCATAATTAGAAATGAAACCAAGATCCAGTGCTGGGCCCCTTTGTGTTCTTGGTTTCACAGTTGAACTGCCCTATCAACAGCCCTATCCATCTTGCCACCGCCAACACACATTCCAAACAAAGAGTAAGCTCAGCTGAGGATCTTGATCCAGACAAGCTCAGCGAAGTGCCGCTCACTTCAGTGTGGTATGAACTTCCAACGGATGGGGTCCCCTTCTTCCCAGCATGGCGGGACTTGGCTCTGGATATCTATTGGGCAGGCTATGAACGGCTCAGGGAACCCTTGGAATGCAAAAGCCGGGATGCAGCCAGCCATGGGAAGCTCCAGTGCACTAAGGGGCTGGGCCGCCTGTCAGTGATCTACTTTGGTACCCTCTACACGTTCCTGAACAAAGATGAGCTGACTGATTCCCACAAGGATGACTTTTCCAGGCAGGTCGTAGATCAAAACAATCCTTTTGTTACGATCCAGAACATGGGAGGAAAACTCATTCTGAAGTGCTGCAGTGATCATTTGCTACCTTCTTCAGAGATATTCTGCCAGATAATATGCTGTGTTCCGCAGACATTCTAACATGTTATGCAAGGCTAACTGTTGAGCAATATTCTGCAAGCCTACATCTCAAGATTCAATGCGAGAGTAGAAACCATCAATTTTAGATCATCTGCGTCGTGAATTTGCAACCAAACTTGGCAAATCCCTAGGGTGATCCTTTGGACCAAACAGTCGTCCCCTGGGATATTCTGCCGGATCCCAATTCAATAATTTAGGCTTGCAGAACATGATTCTGGGAGCGCAGAACATTGTTCCGGGTTCACAGAACATGCCATGATATCTTCATTATATCTTCTGGGTACTGGGGCTATTGCTTTTCAGATCGCATAATATCTCCAGGGGTGAGGGTTCTGGCCTACACGTCGTCCCCGGGGTGGGGTTGATTCCAAGTCAAATTTCGTGACGCAGAATATCTTTCTAAGGATGAACCTTTCGGTGAGAGGGTCGTCCCTGCAGAAGATTCCAATCCGCATGTTATCAAAAAGGTCGTCCCCGCAGAAGATTCCAATCCGCATGTTATCAAAAAGGTCGTCCCCGCAGAAGATTCCAACCCGCATGTTATCAAACCCACAATCATATGTTGTCAATCCCTGACTTGAGCCCAGCCTGCTTGCGAGGTGGCTGCAGACAGTCACCACCTTGGCGTGCAAGATTGGGAAGGAGCGTGAAGACTCCCACTACGTATGGAAACGGATCCAAGTTTCCGAGCAGCAGGCCCAACGAGAGCGCAAGAACTTGATTCAAAAGGCGCTCATTTTCAACCAGCGAGCCCATGAGATCATTGCAAAGGAGAGGGTCTGACCGGGAAGGTGTGCCAACCAATGGGCCTCAATCGCAAAACAAATAGGTTCCTTCCTTCCTGTTGATTCTTGGGGTGTCATCAGACTTTTTCATCTGTCTTCAGGAGCCTGCTCGCTATCCCGGCAGCGACGGATTCAAGGAAGCGTTCTTGCGTGGTGTTTCTGAATATAACAGTTACGGCCTGGCTGCATCAAATGTGAAGTACCAAGTCGGACCTGATGTGGCAATCCAACTGTTCGGTTTCAAGGTTACTTGACAAAGTGCTTTGATAAATTTTAGATTTGATTGGGGTCTGTTGGGGTGGAGCATTGTCACTGGGTTTAGCAAATCATGTATGCCCTGTTGTGGCATTGCCTTTCCCTTAAGGTTGGAGTGGATGACCGCGTGTGGGAGCGCATCAGTTGTCACCTCCACCAATTCCGGTGGGAGCAATCAGGTTTGGGGTTGGAAAAAACGAGCTTGCCAGCTTAGCTGATACCAAAAGCCAGGAAAACCATCAAAATGTTTCAAGCATGTTTTGACGCCTCTATTTCAACCCTGCCAGCCTATTCGAAAGAGCTACTGTTGGATCCACGGTGGCTGCTTGGGGGAAGCTTGAAGATCAGTTCCACACGGTGGTATGACATTCTCACCATGAACCGCTTCAAACAAATGCTCTTCATGGATCGTGGCCCAGATGGACAAGTCAGGTGTTGAGTTCTAGAGGACTGGCAGTAACTAGCCCTCTTTTTTACCTCTAGACTCTAAGAATGTGTTTTCATCAACTCGAGCCGTTTCCTGTCAAGGTATACTTCTTCTCCATAGCATCAGTGTTCGGAGAGCAGGATCCAGGACTCTGGTCCGACTCAACCAGGGGGAGTGGTTGGCAGAGGCAGATGTGTGCTGCGTTCTGGGTTGGCTGCACCTAGTCAGTGCTTAGACAAGATGTTCACTTCTGTTTGGGGGGGCTCTATGGGATGGACAAGTGCCATCACGGTTGCTTTATAACTGTTAAATTAGTTATTCAATTTTTGCAGGTAACCAATTATACTCTCTCCGGGTGATTGCGAACAAAAAAGGATTGAAGAGATGGCCAATGCCACCTGCGACGACGGCACTTGCAAGTTTGAGCGGGACACTCTGGAGTCTGTCCGGACCCGCTGCATCGAGGGGCATCTAGGCATAACAAACTGTGCTCCAGCTAGTTTACTGGTTCCCCCTAATGATAGGACCAGGTGAATCTTGTTTGGTTTGGGACCTCGTTTGGTTTCATGTGGCGAATCTACCGCTTCAGGGACTTTCACTCTGAAATGAAGGAGGTTCTTGACATGAAGGACCCGACATATTCACCTTCTTTTGCAGCAGCCTGGAAAGAGCATCTCAAAGCAGCCACCCCGGAAGATGCAGACCCTTGTACAGTTTTAACATGATTTGCTCCAAACATGGTTTCTTGAATCTGAATTGATTAGCTTTTGCTTGGGATTGATTTTGTCTGAGCAACCACACAAGGAAGATGCCTTCACAAAAGTGGACCACCAGTTAGACAACTTGTCTCAAGATGCAAGAATCTTGGCGGCCTAGCATGGCCCTTCCCAAACCATTGTTTCTCCGAATCCGCCAAGCCACTGACGCTTCTGAGGAAAGGCTGCTTTCGATCGAGATGTCCTGCAGTTGACACGTGACTGCGCGGCAATCGGACAACTCTTTGAAGCAGATCAACGCTCCGAGAACCTTGTCTGAAAAAGTATCGTCGATGTATCATTGTCGTTTTGTTTTTAAGTGGGAATGAATGAAATTTCAGCTTTAAGATGCTGGGATGAGTCTTCAATCACCCAAGTACAACCAAACACTAGATAGAGTATTTTAAATATATTTGGCATGAAAGGAGGAGCAAAAGAGCAGCTCGTCTCTTGCATCTCAAGAACCAGAATGTCATCGGCGCCAGCGTTGTGAAGAGTTTTATGGACTCCGTTGTGTGCTTCAAGAGCGGGGTGCCCTGGGAAGACCCTGATGTTACCATGGCCGTGGAGAAGGACTAGTGACTAGCGGTCAGTCAGTTCTCTGGTTTTAAACCGTTCATCGTGTGACTATTCGGAGTAGTAGATTATTGTGTAATAAATTCCTGTGTGTGGCGTGACAATCCTTACCCTGAGTTCATCACCGATGTGAGCGCGGACTCTGGTGGGTTGGTCATCTGGCAAGATATGACGAAGATGGGCAAAGTGTCCAGCAAGGAGATGAGTGCAATGGTTGACACGATTGCAGCTCTGGTACGGAAAAAGCCAGCTTCGACGATTGGGTTTATCACAAGTCCTGTCTTGATCAGCGAAAAGTTGGCCAACAACACACGGGACATGATGAGGAGGTTCGAGGACAAGTGTGACGCCAAGGGATTGGCCAACCATTTGGTGATACTTCGAATGGAGATGCCCCATTCATCAAAGAAGGTGCCCATCA